ACTTTCACAATTCCTAATGACCATGTTGGCTGGGAAATTCCAAAAACTGTAGTCATATCACATCTGCAGCAGGTTGGGAAAGAAGAACCTAAATCAATATATTTCAAGGAGAAAAGCAAAGGAGAAGAGAGGAAATCAGGAAAAAAAATATAATTAAAATGTGTCATTGGGTACAATTACACTGAAGAATAAGAGGGATTTCCTTTCACCACAAAAAGCCGGTGGGCAGATCCCCAAACAGAGTTGTATTACCTCACTTTACCTCTCATCTACACATAAAACTCTTCATGGATATACTGACAGAATTCATACAACATGCTTAACCTTGTTACCACTTTTCTGGGACATGGAATCATAAACTGAAAGCTTTGCCTAACATACTAAGCGATAAAAAATCTAATTAAGCTTAATACTTACCAAGCTTAGCATTTTGTACAAATGCTTCTGTGCCTATCTGGTTACACATGCGTGTGTGCGCACGTGCGCACATGTGCACACACACACACACACACATACACACACTCCACTATGCCAATTCATTCATTGGAATTGCTTTCCAGAAGATAAAGGCTAATATATCAATGTATTCCCTTCATCTTAAAAACACCAGCTCCCCAGTGAGCTGCGTTTCCTGAGTTTTCATCTTTTCCAATGCATACAGAACATTATTTCCACTGATGTCAATAGGACTCAATTCTTAGTAGACATCTGTGGCATTGTTTATGAAATGCTGAAAAGTGAGGACTGGATATGAAGTTGGAAAAGCACACATAGAATACCTAAATGCACTGAAAAAGCAAAACTTCATATTGAAGAATGCCTGTTCTTATTATGGTTTAGGAGAGGCTTCAAAACATGTTTTACTCTGGCCTTTAGAAATTTATATTTCTAAAAGAATGTTTAAAAATCATTATATCTGACTCTGTGTGTGTGTGTGTGTACACATATATGTGCGTATTTCTCTTGCATTCTCTCACCACCACCCAGAACCTTTGGAATTTGGCAGCATATGCAATGCCCAGTATTTCCACTTCCTCTCTTCCTTCCTCCAGAAAGATGATTTCATTACTATTTATCAGAAATATCTCCTCGGTTTTGCAGTGTCATGGAAATTCTTTTTGGCTGGTGCTCTTTCCTTTGGTGCTGCTTAGAAGAAGCAATATAGAAATGTTGCAGCAACTTCTCCCATCCTTGCCAGATAAAAGTAAACACTCATAATTCAAAAGAAAACATAAATGTATACCTCTAAGCTGCTACCCCAAAATCTGGCATCATGCAGAACTATAGGTGCAAGATATCCAGCAAGAGGAGCTGTTCAACGTTTAGAGCAATATCCTCATCCAATTTTACATTGTAGTCCAGAGTGTATTTTTCTTTCACTCATTTTGTTCAGAGGGTGTGTGTTTTTCTTTTTGGTCTGCCTTGTGGAATCTTCTTCTCCCCGGAACCGAGGTTAGCCCCATCCCCCTTAACATTGTGCAAGTCCCTCAAGACCTGGCTATGTGGTACAGTCTGGGAGTCCCAGGGAATCGGGGAGATTTTGTGATGGCTCCCTTACTGTGGTTAACATTATCCTCTCTTGTTCTGTGTGCTTTTTTATAGTTTTTATAGCTTTAATAATGACGGTTTTATATGTATTTATTGGTTTCCTTTTTATTTGAGTGTTGTACGCCACCCAGAGTCACTTTTTTGTGAGATGGGCAGCTATACAAATATGATAAATAAATAAATAAAATATTAATTTAATAATTAATAAAATTAATTAAAATATTAAGGTTTTCATAATCTAACAACAACAATTAATAATAATGTAATGTTGTATTAGTGTAAATACCCCATTAACATATAAAAGGGAACAGTAGGGAAGGGAGGAAAGATTGTTGTGTTGGTGTGCAATTAAAAAAAATGAACAAAATTATTCATAAAGGGTAATGATACTGTTAGCTAAAGCTTGCGATTTTATATGTAAGATCTGTAAATCTGTAAATCTCAGATCCCTTGGTGAATTTTTGCAGAAATGAACTCACCCACACAGAGATACACTACATAGGTTGCCACCCATATACAGTAGATACTAGGTGGCTTACAATCAACAGTATAAGACACAGTTTATAAACAATCACAATAACGTATTGTCAAAGGCTTTCATGGCCAGAATACGATGGCTGATGTGGGTCTTCCGGGCTGTGTGGCCGTGTTCTGGAAGTTTTATTCCTAACA